CTTATGATTAATATTATATTTTTACCTATAGTTTACCTAGATTGTGCAGGATGCTTGAAAAGAGCGCCACGCACAGGGATTGGCGTGCCAAGTAACTATGGTAACTATGTGACCAAGTAACTATGTAACTATGTGACTAATGTGTGTAACTATGGTAACTATGTGACTAATGTGTGTAACTATGGTATTGGTAACTATGGTAACTATGGTAACTATGGTAACTATGGTAACTATGGTAACTATGGTAACTATGGTAACTATGGTAACTATGGTAACTATGGTAACTATGGTAACTATGTGTAACCAGGCACGTAGCCAGGGGGGCAGGGGGCTGCAGCCCCCCCCCCCCCCCCCCCGCCGGAAACAATTGAACCCCAGTTGCAGTTAGCAGCAGTTTCTTTGCACTATAGTCCCCCTGTGCCTAGTCCCCATGGTCGCCTGGTAACTGGGCTGTGTTTATGACTGCAGTCTGTACTGTTTAAACGGCAGGCAATTGACTTCAGCACTTCGTTAATTATTACCAAATCCCACTATACATGTACTTATTCCATTCAATGTGGCAAGTACTGAGTTCGGTAGGGACTGGGAGGACATTTTGGCATTTGCTTAAGACGATGAGGCCCGAGCACTGAGTAAGTCGTAAATTCTGATTGGAGAATGCATATTGCTGTTGTGAAATTACTAAATTTACGTGAGTACTTGATTCTTTTCAGTCCCAGTTTATTGCTGTCCTACAAATTTCTTTAATGCCAAACGTCGTCTAAAACACCCTATTTCTCAAAATGTTTCCGGGGGGCTGCGCCCCCTAGCCCCCCGCCCAAGGCCCCTGCCGCAGCTTGCTCGCTGCGCAGCTGGGTTGGACTCGTCGCGGCTCGCCGAGGGCCCCTCCCAAAGAAAAATACTGGCTACGTGCCTGTGTGTAACTATGGTATCTGTGTGATCGCACGCAAAACTCACGCGTCCACGTAGTTATAGTTTGGCGGATGTTACTCGTCTAAATTTCTTCGAAGTAGCGCGCGCCGGGCCAAATCATTAACAATGGTCAAAGTTATAGTCTGATCCTTCGATATTTACTGTTTAAATGGGTCCAATCAGAAGCGAAGATCTCTAGCTCTGATAACTGACAGTGACAATACAACGTAAACAGCCCTTTTAAGAGGTAAAGACTTCTCAGCGGGCTGCGCGCGGCCGGCTCCCAATTAATATCGAAAGAACAATATTAGATTCAGTAATATGTGAACCTACTTCCCATTGTATTTTTAATTGATTGGCATTACTTATCAGCATGACAGTGTTCATGCATCACGATTAAGTCGTCTTAAAGATAATAGTCTATGTAATAAGCGCCATGAGTTGGCACAGAATTTTTTGTCTCTGATTTTGATAAATTTGGTACCAAAAGTTGCCTTTAACTGTGAATAATGAAAATTCACCGTGTAGCACGATTCGTCGAGATGTATGTGGGCCTCCTGTGCATTGCAAAAGTGTACTATGGACGAAAAATGGTTAATTTATTGCTTAAAATGCCTATAACTCCTAAAATATTGAATATTTTGAAATAATTCTTACAGAATCGTAATGAACTTAATCAGACACAACTTTTGGTACCAAAATTATAATATTTAAAGCACCAAATTTTTCGAAAATTTGTTCAAAATTTTACACAAGGGGGGACCCTTGTGTTCAGATTAAAAACTTTTGAAAAAAAAATTCCTTTAAATCTTAAAATATTAGTACTAAAAGTTTCGTCTCGATGAGCTGATTACGATACCATGATAACTATGTAATAATAATTTAAAATGTGAAAGTTATAGGCCAAAAACTAAAAATTTGCGCGAAAAAAGCACGCGCGGCGAATAAGCGCCGTGTAGCATTTTTAGCGAAAATTGCTACACGGTGGATTTATTTTATTCACATTTTTAGACAACTTTTGGTACCAAATTTATCGAAATCGGAGAAAAAAAGTTATGTGCTCGCGCTTGGCGCTTATTACACTGACTATAATGTGAAAGAACATATGGAAATAATAACGCGGAGCCCCCTACACTCCCAGTCCCCTACACTCAACCCGAGTTATTAGGGACCGATTATAAGGGGTTGTTCACATATTACGTAATCAGCTGAGGGGGGTTTCCAAATGATTACACTAGTGTAATTTTTACACAATAGCAGAATAGCTATATATGTGTAAATCTGATTACGGAGGTCGGGGGTGGGGTAAAAATTTTGATTTCGTAATATGTCAATGTGAACGACCCCTAATAAGAAGGACTCAAAGATCAAAACTGAAACTCTCCTTGGAAACTAAAATTTGCATGTAGAACTAGAACTTCTGATAAGTTCGGCTTATTTGCATTTGATTTATAATTTAATCCTAATCGCTAAGGAATTTTTCTTCCAAATATAAAATATTTCGTTTATTTTCGCAGATATGAAATTGAATTCACATAGCCATGTCACATGTGTATACTGTATACGCGTACTGCGTGACGCGCTTGTTTCACTACTAGTACTACTGCAACTGCAAGCGAGAGGGCTCTGGTTAGAGCAAGAAATTGAATTCAGATCAACTTCATTCAAAAATATGTGTTAGGAGCCATCTACTTAGGACGTCCGGCAAATAGGGAGGGGCGGTGCAGGTGGTTTTGGAATTTCGGACAACAGACAAATCCGGACAGGGGGAGGGGGGTGGTTTCTGAAAATCCGGACGTCCGGAAATGTTGGCAGAATTAACGAAAAAGTTCCATTTATTTCAACTCTTCAACACTAATTACTTTGTAAGTTAAGATCCCTGTATTTTGAACGAGAAGGCGATTCCCAGAGCAGCTCATGAGAGCCGAGTTTTATTCGTACTCTTAAAAGTCGCTCCCACTAAATCGCTCGCCCAAATTTCAAGAAAATTCTTGTGAAAAGGCCCTGAAGGTATAAATAAAATCTGTCCCGGTGTATTTTTGGACGCTGATAGTGATTCCGAATCACCCCTCATGACGTAGGGCAAAAATAACTTCCCTGGAAAGTTATGGGCAAAAAACTGTTTTGGTCACGTGACACGCTAGTAGAACACGAATTTGATTGTTTAGGGGTTGAATTTGATTGTTTAGCCTTAGGGTTGTGGTTAGGGTTATGGATAGCTTTGTGTTTATGGTTAGGGTTAGGATTAGGGTTTATGTAAAACCGTTTTGTTCGGCTGCAAAACAATAAAAACCAAAGTCACGTAATAATTTTTGGGCGAGCGAATTAGTAAGAGCCCTTAAAAGTAGCTGGAAATCCGGACGTCCGGGGGTGGTTTTGAAATTTCGGACACACCCGGACAGGGGGAGGGGGTGGTCTGAAATTCTGCGATTTTGGCAAACGTCCTAAGTAGATGGCCCCTTATAATTTAAGTGTGTCATATTTTCGTAAAATGGTCTAGCACTTTTGTATTGGCTGTTGAAATATCATTTACAAACGAAGATTTCAAATTTATGTGATATTCATGTGATCGATCGATTTGAAAAACTAGTAATCAATAATACACATTCATCAAGGTGCTTATAATAAAATACCATATATATACTATACTTGTACAAAGTTATCATGGTTAAATAATGAATAAACGACCTTTATTGACTCAGGTGTTTTTAATGTGGACAATAAGTACCATAACCTAGCTGGATAACTGTAGGAAACGGTGACAATCTTAGTAGTTACCCGCTTTTCCAGTGGCCACCGAATTTCTCAAATTCGGGTACCATGAAATATGGTCTCGAGGAAAAGTTTAAAATCTTTAATTAATCTCTAAAATATCCATTCTGCAGGAAATAAAAAGAAACGTGCAAAATAAAGGTGAAATCTGCACGTTTATCATCCTATTATTTTGGGAAAATTGTTAGCTGTTTTAAATCAAGAAAACACAGCAACTAGTTTAGTGTACCCCCCCCCCCCCCCTCCAGCAAGTGTACCCCCCCCCCCCCCAGCAACTAGTTTAGTGTACCCCCCGGCCCCTCCCCCCAACAACTAGTTTAGCCACTGACAAACATCTCACTAACACGATTATTCAAGCTTTCCCATATTTTACTCTATTTGGACACACATTACAAAAATCATCTCACATAAACAACAAAGGTACCTTTAATATCAATTAAATGCTTGTTTAACTTTAACATATAGGTTACTGCTTCAGTAATATCATAATTTAGAAAACCCTATATTTTCTGGAAGTTATGTTATTGTTAATGACTAATTTCTTTGACCGCTTGTAACAGTACTGCATTATTAAAGAGAGATGAATGGCATGGTTACAATCCTGTCAGTTTAGTGGTATTATATGCTGTATTTGGAAACGAGCACTGCAATAATTCTGTTGCACATGTTTCACAGTGAATGCCCACGTATGTGTGGGTAGTTAGTAGTTATTATATAGCTTTTTAAATTTGAGATTTATAGGAAATATTTTATAAGTCACACGCCGAGTGTGAGAGGGTGAGAACAGTTAATGGTAACTAGTGGTAAATATGGTAACTCTTTCGTTACTCTTCGTTAACAGCTCAATAACAAAAACAGGAAAAAAAACGTAACTACACAGCACTGATATCTTTTTCAAATTAAAGTTAACAAAGTTTAAGTAAAAGCATGTAACATGCAATATCATATATATTGGTCTATCAATTTTATAAATTTCTCATAAAGCATAAACATTTCCACAAAATTTAAGAAGTTGAGCTGTTATCCTTGGGTGCCTCGAAGAAATCACGTCGAGTTTTTATGGGGCGAACGTAACAAGCGCCGCGCAGTGACGCAAGAGTAACCATGGTAACAAGCGCCGCGCAGTGACGCAAGAGAGTGACACGAATCCGGTTCCAACACCAGTACAACACGTGACTTAAGATTGAGGCTTTTTGCAACATCTTCAGTAAATATCTTCGAATTGTGATCAAAACAGTAGACTAATTGCATACCACACATACAATGCAGTAACAGAGGATGACATATCGTAACTGATAGCTGAGTCCGGAATAGGTGAGTAGCACCTTGTTTTTTAGTCCGAGGATAATTTGAGAGACATCACATTACAACCCATCACGAAAAGCATGACGAGTCATTATTACAGTAGCCAGATCATTTGAATTATGAATTTGAACCAGCCAAATTAATAGTACAGGAAGTGGAAATAAGTCTGAAACGGCCGATCACAACAGACAGGTGGTCTCCGTAGTGTCACCCGTCACAACAGAGCCAGAAAGAGGAGCCGCGCGTTACAGAGATTTGTGGAGGAAGCGGGGAGTTAGGTGGCTATGTGTTCTTCGTTTGACCCGCCTAAACCTATGAGAATGCTTTTGTTACGGTCAAATAATATATTAGATATTAAATAATATATTAGATATTAAATAATATATTAGATATTATTGTTTATGTAGGTATTCTGAATGTGTGATTATAATTTTGGATTTTCGAAGAATCGAAATATTAAATAATTAAATTTCTACATGTACCTGAGTCCTGTCTCGATTGAGGCTGATGTTTTCTGACTGCTAGCCCCTGTTCTGATGCTCCAGCAAGGTTTGGTTTGAAGGACTCTTGTAAGCTGAAAACAATATTGTTAAAGATTAGTGTACTGAACCATATATATTAAAGTTTGACGATATTAATTTAAGAAATTATTATGCGTTTTGTTAAACCGAGCAAGCACTGATCTGACTCATTTCAATTTAAATTTAAATAAGATGTTTAAAAATTTCGACTAAAACAACTAAACAGGCTGCGTTTTCAAGATCAAGAAAACAACAAATTTTTTCAAGAAAACAACAGATTTTTATTTAAATCAATTGTAGCAACAATTTGAAAAACTTTAAAGTTATTCTATTACCAAGGAATATACTACGGGTATGGTGACTTGGACTATTGAGTTGTTAAGTAGATTAAGATTAGTAAACATGCGCTTGCATTCTGTTTATAAAAACTAGAAATAAGGCTTCAAGGTAAAATGGAGAAGCAGGCTGATCTTGGAGAGAGCAGACCGTAAAGTTTACGCACCCACCAGGGCTACCTACCCCAGTTGTTCTTTTTGGTTTATCATCTTGTATTGTTATATTTATGGACCCCAAGTCACCACACTAAGAAGAAGTATGTAATAAAATAAGTTAAGTTAATGTCATCATATCAGTTTAAAACAGTAAAAGTTATGTTGAGGATTGAATTTCCTAGTTATTATAACGGTTCAAACGGTTGGGAATGTAATAATGTTGGTATTTGTATCTGCTGCAGCAATAATATCGATATGTCATTTGTCTACAAAATCTTCGCCAATTCAATAGATATTGGGTCGGCAATTTGGTGAGTGAGTGATGAACTGGTTTGGTCTGTGACTGAGTGAGGGGCGATGTGAAAGTTGTGGTAAGTCCAGGTATTATTATTGTTGATGGATTGGGATCCTAGGATGATAGTTTTACAGCGTAATTTAACTAAAGATACAGAAATAGTGAGGATTTCCCCATTCTCATTTAGAATCCGTTTATGTATGTTATTCCACAATTTGGAAGCTATGTAAAGAAACGTGTTGGTTTTTCTTGGGAGGATTATGACATTGCTTGTATCACGTTTTTATGAGTCTATAGTACTGTACAACGAGTATGGAGTGCAAAAATTCATAATTCAAAATATCTCAGATATACAGTGGTATTTGTACAAGTTTTGAACAGTAAGCAATTTTAGTCGATTAAAAATGGGATAAGATATTAACCAAATTGATTTTGTGAGCAACAGTCACTGTTCAGGCACAACATAGCGCAAATTTGTAAACACACGTGAATCTAGTTAAGTGATATAAATACGACCATGCACGATTTGAATACCATCCCAAGATATGGCCAGTGAAAATGCCTGCCAGTCCAATCTGCCAGCTGCCTCAAAGATCAGATCATAAGTTTATTCTGTTCAGTTAAGTGACCATGGTTTTCATGTTAAGTACGATTATCTTGTTAAGCTGCAATTTTTATCCCGGTAAGTTAAAGATGCTTGTAAATTTAATTTTTCAGTGAATTTCAAATGTACCAATGTTCAATTTAATTTGGAGCGATAACAATACCATATTGACAACGTAGAAAAACTTTAAACGTCTCTTTTTCAGGCTATTCCAGTTCTCTTTATACTGTTACTGCATGGACCTCAACCCCAGTTACAAGAACTAGTGGGTATACAATACGACCAACAGACTTACATTCTGCACGAGAGTATACCTCAGCGGCCCCCTCAGCGGCCCCCTCACCCAGTCCTCAGGCAGTAAACTTTGCAATCAGGAACATTAGAAAACATACAGGGATTCTAATGGTAAATGTCAACGATCGGAGCTGGGGCGCTGTTTGTTTTTGTGGAGATAGAGCCAAGGAAAGATTTCCTAGCATGTCAACAGCACAGTACATTTGTGAAAGCATGAATTTTAAAATGGTGAAGGAAGTTCGGCCAGTGAGAAAATATTTCAAACTTTCAGGGCAGTTAAATTCCAGGCGATCGAACATTCACAGACTTCGATGCTCAAACGAGAATCCAAAAGGCTGTACATTCCAATTTGGTAGAGGTTGCCACCAAGCAAATAACAATCAGTACTACTACACAAGAATCTCGTGCTCAGGGTGTAAAGTAGGATTCTACCAGTCAGGCCAGACTTGCAAACCCTGCCCTAGTGGTTCATGCTCTTCTGGGAGTAATTCCTCCCGGTGCAGCTGCCCTAGAGGGTACTTTTGGTCTGGCGAGGATTGCAAAGAGTGCCCCAGAAATTTCTTTAGTCAACCAGATAGCACTGTCTGTATTAGCTGTACAGAAAACAGCACTTCAACTAGAGGGTCCCACTCCTGTGTTTGTCCTGAAGGGTATTACTTCAACATGTCTCACTCATTCGGACAATGTGAGAGATGCTCTGAGGAAGAGTATGACAGCTCAGACTTTACAACCTCCGCAAGCAATTCCCTGACTTTACAACCTGTAACAGTCCGACTGAAGAAACACATTCCCTGACACAGGTACAACTCAATGAGACAATGTTGACGTTGAGGAACAAAACTTCGCTACATGTGACTGGGCTAACCAATGCCATTACAAGGTTAACAACTAATCTTCAGGTTGTAATTCTCTCTGTTGCCATATTTATTTTTATTGTAACCTTCCTGTCAGTCATAAAGTGGAGATGTTTTAAAAACAACCAAGAAGGCGCGCAAGAACCTGTTGAAATGGGAGACATGGACAAAGAGGAGAAAACAAAAGAAGGACCACAACGTAAAGGAAACCCTGGCCCTGGTTCATCCTGCAGCTGCCCAAGTGATGAGTCCAACATTTACGCAGACCCACAATAAAGCAAGAACGTCCCTGTCCCAGTTTTAAATCATTACACGGTAAAACCTGCAGTATTCCATAAAATGTGTATAGTGTACTTATTAACTATTGTACCCCCCCCCCCCCCCCCCCCCCCCCCCCGCCTGTACTACATGGGTGTGTGAGTATACAAGTAAACTGTGTGTTGAGTCGTTTTGAGGTATCATGTACAAATGGCTATACAAAAACTATTTGTACACTTAAATTGTAGGTTGCTACAAGGCTGCCTACGCAATTATAATAGGCTCCTTGCTATGATTATCTAATGTTCGTATTTATGATCACCAGATATATAATATGAAAATAGCTCTTTCTTAATCAAATAATAGATTCCCTCCAAGTGGTCCGCGTGATCAGTAACATCAGGCCCTTCTACATGCCTGGTGAAACTGTACCAACAAGTCCCGGTGCTGTAACTGGTATTGCCGCCCGTTACCCGGGGTCTAGTTCCTCAAGGGCTAAAATAATGTAATGTAGCTAGCGAGCTCTATCCATGCAGCTAGCTAGCTATCCTGTTATGTTAAAATAATATAAAGCGCGCGCGCGCATTTACTGCGATAAGCTGATTAGCTTTAATTTCTCGCGCAATCCGTCGAAATCTTTAGTAGACCCTTTTAAAAGTTTGACTAAATTCCGCGATACGTCATTTATAATTTGAACTGTTGATAACTGACCTAACACTACTAATGCTGCCACTGGCGCTTTTTGCTCGAAGATTCTTGATAAGAACCGAGCTGGGCTGCTTCCCTCTATGTCGTCTGTCTAAACTTTGCGTCGTGAAGTTAGGATCATTCCTGAAAGTTTTGTTTGTTAATTGTATTTACTTAGTTATATTATATTATTTACTAGAAACCCGCTAGTCGAAAGCTTTGTTCGAGGAAATTTTAAAAATCAGTTATGTTTTAATTTCTCTTCATCATACAGCTCTGTTATACAGTAGACATAATGGAATTTATTTAACAATGGCAACAGCGTTGTTAGTATTCGGATTCCCAAAACGATACTTTTTACCGCATCAAAAAATACCAATCACAACCAAAGTTATGAATATAAGTCATAGCGTGAGCGTAAATGTGAGCTACTTTTGAAGTTATGACGTAGCATACAGCATAACAACGCGCGTAGTTAAGATGTTCTTGCTCGCGCACGTGCATTTTAACGTTGCTACGCAACAGCGCAGTAAACCTTTGCTAAAATAACGACATTATTCTAACGGTTATTTTACCTCACTTCCGACGTTAATTATAAAAAATCTAAAGCCTAAATCAAAATTCTAAGAATGCTATAGCCTATTCCTATCCTTTTTCTACAACCCTGCTAAAAATGGCGAGGTTTCAACTCCATTTGCGAGCTGGGTTTGGCATCACCAGAGGGTCATTTTGAGGTCGATTTTCGGTGTTTTTTCTTCTATGTCCCCGTTGCCGGGGAAATTTCGTCAAGTTTAAATTATAGTATAGATATATTATATTACTTAGTTATATTAGGTTATGTAATATCTGGATAGGAACATTATTTATGAGTCGCAAAGTTGTGATATTTCTAATGAAAATTTCTGATAATTCCGTATATAATGTGACAAAGGGACAATGCTATTTTCCTAAGTTAGATTAGTTAACAGTTTAAGTTTCGATTTCACAGCAATTTATTTACCAGTCAATTATGAAATCTTGTTAGATGTTCTATATAACAACTAATTTCTGAAAAATACCGTGTCAATTAATTTTTGTTAGAAGGAACCAAATCTATTAAACGTCACTTAACAAGGAAATATCGGATGATAAATCTGCCAAATAGCATGATAAATAGCATGATGATGAAATGAAATAATCTGATTATAAACCGCCCATATGGTTAGCAACTGACACAATTTTCAGGTACTTACCATGCCAGAGCGGTTCTAAAAGGTGAGGTGAAAACATTTAGCAACAAACAATTAGATCATCTCAAAAACAAATCTATTCAGAATATTATATAATAAATATTTAGTTATCTTGACAGAAAACCCACGTACGTGTCCGGAGGGGAGTCTGCGGTAGGAACACAGTCTAGACTGTGTGCAGGACTTTTCGTGAGACCTCTGCTACTCGACCCTATTGAGGCAACTGAAACAAACCCTGTTGAGGCAACTGAAACAAACGATAATTTACTTATAAGGCTTAACTAATTGTCATTGATGTTTTGGGACAAAGTGAGAGTCTCCACTCAGTTTTTCAAGCAAATAGTTGAAAAACTAATTACAACACTACAAATCTTAAATCTATTACATTTAGTAGTGTTGTAATTAGTTTTTCAACTATTTGTTTGAAAACCTGAGTGGAGACCCTCATTTTGTCACAAAACATCAATTATATGATCGACCCACTCAAAAGAGCGAAAACAGATTGTTAGTTACTAATTGTATTCAAAGCTTTGAAACCAATAAAGTAAGCAGCAGTGCACAGTGTGTATTGTAGATCACCAGCGTGCTACAGACTAGTGCTATATTGTAATGCTAATTAATTGTTTCATTAAGATCAGGAAAAAGGAGTGGTGCACTTATTGTTGTAATTAAATTAAACCAGATTAAGTATACACTATACAATAGTGTACAATGCTAGCATTGTATGCTGAGTGTAGCGTTGGTACAATTACTGTTGTATTTCATATGGAAAGGCGGTCTAATTTCATCAGGTGTTTAGTGTTACATAAATATTGAAACAAAACCCCAGCTAATCTTGTAATCTTTTACCTAAGTGTCTGATCTACCATAGCTGATAAAGTGAATCAGTATAAAATTCTTAAAACATGCCGTTTTTTTCTCAAATTACAGCAATTAAATTTTGTGTGGAACAAGCAGGGGAATAAAATGTTATCCGACTTTTAATCTGGTCAACACAATCCTCCTAAACTGAACATTAAATCAGTAATAAGCTTAAAAAATGTTCGACCGTAATTAAAGAAGAGTAAGGTATCGTTAATAACTTCCGGGAGTTAGCTTTAGAAACATATATTTGCTCCCAGTTTCATTTAGATTTTAGAGCATGAAGTCAGATTGCTCAAATTGCAATAAAGTTTTTGGATATTGATTCTTTGTGGTTACCATCACTTATGTAGGATGTACCATAATAACAGAATTAATAATTAGCCTTGAACCTTTTGAAAAATGACTGTTCTGATAAATGTAAATAAGAATCCACTAATAGGGGGGGGGGGGGTCCAAGGGGAACTTTGGGGAGTTTTGAGGAACTTTTTTTTGGGGAACTTCAGGAAACCTGGGGGACTTTCCCAAAGTTCCCCAAAAAACTATCAATAAAACAAATAATTTTAGGGAATTTTGGGGAACTTTTTTTTGGGGAACTTCAGAAAGTTCCCCAAAATTCCCCAAAGTTCCCCAAAGTTCCCCAAAAAAATTATAATGCCAAACAAATTATCATGCTGCAAGTATCAACAAGTAAGTTAAAATTATACCTTACTAGAAAGCCCGTGGTAACAGGGACGAAGCTAGTAGTATTCTTCGAAAGAAAGTTTTAATCGCATCAAAAAAGATCCATCCCGACCGAAGATACAGCCGATTTAAATATAAAACACTTTAAACACAACGTAATTACCACAAAACCGATCAAAATGACGTTAAAACAATCTTTGCACGTGCATGTGTGCATTTAAACACCGTTGCTATGGAACCTTTTGGTTGTTACCTAAATTCCTATTTTTCATCTAATTTGCACGTGGGCGGTCGTACATACAGAATAATTCTTGAATTATTATACCTTATAATAACATACATGTTAACATTAATGGGTATTAATGTATATTAGAGAAATTTTGAATAATTTTGAATAATTTTGAATAATTTTAAATAATTTTGAATAATTTTGGGGAATTTTGGGGAACTTAGGGGAGTTTTGGGGAACTTTTTTTTGGGGAACTTCAGAAATCTTGGGGGACTTTCCCAAAGTTCCCCAAAGTTCCCCTTGGACCCCCCCCCCCTAATAGTAATAATCCTACATATAATAATAAACATGAGACAAAAACTTACAACATCATGACACGAGTGAGCACATGACGATCGAACAAACTAAATCACCGCCTCCCACGATAGTTCAGATTAGTAACATAAGTTATATAAGTTATATAAAGCTAACTTACTCTCACTTTCATCTCCATCCGAGGAAGCCCCCGCACCCTCCGCCAGATTGATATCCACGATATTATCTTGCGCTAACGATTTTATCTGGTTATCTGCAGCCCTGTAAACGTCATAGGTTTTATGATATTATTATGATGAGGCACATATCTCAATTGATGTTCTTTCAATAATGATTCAATCTTTTATGTATTATGTATTATGATGTGAAGAATGTATTATGATGTGAAGAATGTACGGTAAATACAAATGAATTTCATATGTCAAAACTATGCCCGGAATCACTTAGTGTATGAACTTCTTGAATCAGACAAATAGAATGGAAATCTCATTGTTTAGATGAGTATTGTTTTCAATACAGATGACTAAGTTACTAGGTTACTGTGATGAAAACAATGATAGTGGCTAGACTTAGTACCAGCACAGAGTACGTGTATAATAATAATCAATATCTTTGTACTTTCTAGATCCAAGCTAGCCGCAGGTATTTAATTTTGATTTAACATCACGAAAACAGTGTCATATAACCGTTTATAACGGTTATATGACGGCGCACGTTCTACTGCGCACAGTATATCTTACATTCTCACCGGGGGTTTATTCAGAGTGTGTTTTAATTAAGGCCGGCAATATATTATGCAGACAAACATCATAATTAGCAATATTCATGTGGAAATCATACCATCTAAATCTTATTAACGTGCCAAAATATGAAATTCGTGGAATTTGCTTTCATCACCAGGTATGTTAATGATTGCCTAACTGACCAACTAATGAGACACCTACAACAGTTGAGGGAGCGTGATACCTGGGTGTAATCACCAGTCAACACCACATGGTTACAATCATTGATTATGTAATTAGACAGTTACTTGGTTAATTAGACAGAGCGTGTTGTAATAATATAATATAATAACTCACGTTTTGAAGATGGGATCTCCCATCACGCGTACCATCGAGGTTGTTACCTGGCAAACAGTAATTACCTGATTAGCTAATTAAGTAACTAGTTACCTGGCAAACAGTAATTACCTGATTAGCTAATTAAGTAACTAGTTACCTGGCAAACAGTAATTACCTGATTAGCTAATTAAGTAACTAGTTACCTGGCAAACAGTAATTACCTGATTAGCTAATTAAGTAACTAGTTACCTGGCAAACAGTAATTACCTGATTAGCTAATTAAGTAACTAGTTACCTGGCAAACAGTAATTACCTGATTAGCTAATTAATTAACTAGTTACCTGGCAAACAGTAATTACCTGATTAGCTAATTAAGTAACTAGTTACCTGGCAAACAGTAATTACCTGATTAGCTAATTAAGTAACTAGTTACCTGGCAAACAGTAATTACCTGATTAGCTAATTCATTAACTAGTTACCTGGCAAACAGTAATTACCTGATTAGCTAATTAAGTAACTAGTTACCTGGCAAACAGTAATTACCTGATTAGCTAATTAAGTAACTAGTTACCTGGCAAACAGTAATTACCTGATTAGCTAATTCATTAACTAGTTACCTGGCAAACAGTAATTACCTGATTAGCTAATTAAGTAACTAGTTACCTGGCAAACAGTAATTACCTGATTAGCTAATTAATTAACTAGTTACCTGGCAAACAGTAATAACCTGATTAGCTAATTAAGTAACTAGTTACCTGGCAAACAGTAATTACCTGATTAGCTAATTAAGTAACTAGTTACCTGGCAAACAGTAATTACCTGATTAGCTAATTAATTAACTAGTTACCTGGCAAACAGTAATTACCTGATTAGCTAATTAAGTAACTAGTTACCTGGCAAACAGTAATTACCTGATTAGCTAATTAATTAACTAGTTACCTGGCAAACAGTAATAACCTGATTAGCTAATTAAGTAACTAGTTACCTGGCAAACAGTAATTACCTGATTAGCTAATTAATTAACTAGTTACCTGGCAAACAGTAATAACCTGATTAGCTAATTAAGTAACTAGTTACCTGGCAAACAGTAATTACCTGATTAGCTAATTAAGTAACTAGTTACCTGGCAAACAGTAATTACCTGATTAGCTAATTAATTAACTAGTTACCTGGCAAACAGTAATTACCTGATTAGCTAATTAAGTAACTAGTTACCTGGCAAACAGTAATTACCTGATTAGCCAATTAAGAAACTAGTTACCTGGCAAACAGTAATTACCTGATTAGCTAATTAAGTAACTAGTTACCTGGCAAACAGTAATTACCTGATTAGCTAATTAAGTAACTAGTTACCTGGCAAACAGTAATTACCTGATTAGCTAATTAAGTAACTAGTTACCTGGCAAACAGTAATTACCTGATTAGCTAATTAATTAACTAGTTACCTGGCAAACAGTAATTACCTGATTAGCTAATTAAGTAACTAGTTACCTGGCAAACAGTAATTACCTGATTAGCTAATTAAGTAACTAGTTACCTGGCAAACAGTAATTACCTGATTAGCTAATTAAGTAACTAGTTACCTGGCAAACAGTAATTACCTGATTAGCTAATTAATTAACTAGTTACCTGGCAAACAGTAATTACCTGATTAGCTAATTAAGTAACTAGTTACCTGGCAAACAGTAATTACCTGATTAGCTAATTAAGTAACTAGTTACCTGGCAAACAGTAATTACCTGATTAGCTAATTCATTAACTAGTTACCTGGCAAACAGTAATTACCTGATTAGCTAATTAAGTAACTAGTTACCTGGCAAACAGTAATTACCTGATTAGCTAATTAATTAACTAGTTACCTGGCAAACAGTAATAACCTGATTAGCTAATTAAGTAACTAGTTACCTGGCAAACAGTAATTACCTGATTAGCTAATTAAGTAACTAGTTACCTGGCAAACAGTAATTACCTGATTAGCTAATTAATTAACTAGTTACCTGGCAAACAGTAATTACCTGATTAGCTAATTAAGTAACTAGTTACCTGGCAAACAGTAATTACCTGATTAGCCAATTAAGAAACTAGTTACCTGGCAAACAGTAATTACCTGATTAGCTAATTAAGTAACTAGTTACCTGGCAAACAGTAATTACCTGATTAGCTAATTAAGTAACTAGTTACCTGGCAAACAGTAATTACCTGATTAGCTAATTAAGTAACTAGTTACCTGGCAAACAGTAATTACCTGATTAGCTAATTAAGTAACTAGTTACCTGGCAAACAGTAATTACCTGATTAGCTAATTAATTAACTAGTTACCTGGCAAACAGTAATTACCTGATTAGCTAATTAAGTAACTAGTTACCTGGCAAACAGTAATTACCTGATTAGCTAATTAAGTAACTAGTTACCTGGCAAACAGTAATTACCTGATTAGCTAATTCATTAACTAGTTACCTGGCAAACAGTAATTACCTGATTAGCTAATTAAGTAACTAGTTACCTGGCAAACAGTAATTACCTGATTAGCTAATTAAGTAACTAGTTACCTGGCAAACAGTAATTACCTGATTAGCTAATTAATTAACTAGTTACCTGGCAAACAGTAATAACCTGATTAGCTAATTAAGTAACTAGTTACCTGGCAAACAGTAATTACCTGATTAGCTAATTAAGTAACTAGTTACCTGGCAAACAGTAATTACCTGATTAGCTAATTAAGTAACTAGTTACCTGGCAAACAGTAATTACCTGATTAGCTAATTAAGTAACTAGTTCCCTGGCAAACAGTAATTACCTGATTAGCTAATTAAGTAACTAGTTACCTGGCAAACAGTAATTACCTGATTAGCTAATTAAGTAACTAGTTACCTGGCAAACAGTAATTACCTGATTAGCTAATTAAGTAACTAGTTACCTGGCAAACAGTAATTACCTGATTAGCTAATTAAGTAACTAGTTACCTGGCAAACAGTAATTACCTGATTAGCTAATTAATTAACTAGTTACCTGGCAAACAGTAATTACCTGATAAGCTAATTAATTAACTAGTTACCTGGCAAACAGTAATTACCTGATTAGCTAATTAAGTAACTAGTTACCTGGCAAACAGTAATTACCTGATTAGCTAATTAAGTAACTAGTTACCTGGCAAACAGTAATTACCTGATTAGCTAATTAAGTAACTCATTTTTTTAATTAATTAGTCAATCAAAAAATGCAGGTCTCTATAATTTATGAATAGATAGTACTGGATTTGAGTGACGATAATATGTCCATACTTTGGAAGCTTTCATTCACTCACATCCCATGCCGTGGAAGAAAACTTAAATTGTAGGAAAAATATTGACAATAAGTTGTGCAACTTACCACTACGATAGAGTTTCCAGCGAGACCTTTAGACTTTTTGTTCACTTTGAGGATGTACCGGCCTTGACAAGGAGTATTGTAGGAGGCTCGCTCCGCTAGGTTTATGTCGAAATATCCCAACTGTGTAGTGTTAGTTTGAAGCTTGTTAAATAAGAGAGATCCTTCAATCTGGCTGACGTTATGTATATGTGAACCATCTCTTTCTGGGTTTGGTTTAGGGAGCTAACTTGCCACTATACTAACTATAGTAATATTTAATAGTGAAACCCCCCTTAATTAATAGCACTATGTTTACATATGTCCAGGGTTCAGATCCAAAAAGAGATTGTTCACATATTACGTCAGCCAGATTGAACGATCTCTTACTGATATGATCCCATAATTATAGACCATTTACATTTTACACATAGTACATAGCTATTGTCTAAAAATTACACGCAAGCTTTTTCAAGCGCCATCATCTTACTAGGCGACATATCACATACGTAAAATGCGACTGATCCCTCAGCGTAGATCAACACCTTTAATGACATAAGTTCGACCTTTTATTTATAAACAATAAAGCAGAATATATTCATTAACTGTTCATCAGCAGTAGTAGTAGTAGTAATCAGCAGTTAAACTGAACTATTTAACTTACCTTTTCAGAATCTTTTCCACCGTTTACTTCCTGAAATACAAATTTAAAGGATAACGATAATTGCATTGTACGTAGTAGTAGTAGTGATGCTACTAGTAGTAGTAGTAGTAGTGATGCAGATGTAGTAGTAGTAGTAGTAGTGATGCAGATGTAGTAGTAGTAGTAGTAGTAGTAGTAGTAGTAGTGATGCAGATGTAGCAGTAGTAGTAGTGATGCAGATGTAGTAGTAGTAGTAGTAGTGATGCAGATGTAGTAGTAGTAGTAGTAGTGATGCAGATGTAGTAGTAGTAGTAGTAGTAGTAGTAGTAGTGATGCAGATGTAGCAGTAGTAGTAGTGATGCAGATGTAGTAGTAGTAGTAGTAGTGATGCAAATGTAGTAGTAGTAGTAGTAGTGATGCAGATGTAGTAGTAGTAGTAGTAGTGATGCAGATGTAGTAGTAGTAGTAGTAGTGATGCAGATGTAGTAGTAGTAGTAGTAGTAGTAGTAGTAGTAGTGATGCAGATGTAGCAGTAGTAGTAGTGATGCAGATGTAGTAGTAGTAGTAGTAGTGATGCAGATGTAGTAGTAGTAGTAGTAGTGATGCAGATGTAGTAGTAGTAGTAGTAGTAGTAGTAGTAGTAGTGATGCAGATGTAGCAGTAGTAGTAGTGATGCAGATGTAGTAGTAGTAGTAGTAGTGATGCAAATGTAGTAGTAGTAGTAGTAGTGATGCAGATGTAGTAGTAGTAGTAGTAGTGATGCAGATGTAGTAGTAGTAGTAGTAGTGATGCAGATGTAGTAGTAGTAGTAGTAGTAGTAATGCGTATGCTACTAGTAGTAGTAGTGATGCTACTAGTAGTAGTAGTAGTAGTGATGCAGATGAACACAAAAATGAATTCATGTGCTATGTACAATATACATAATGAAAGTGTCTCGAAATTTAAGCTACTATCACCAGACTTCAATAGAATTCTTCCGATTCGCGGTAATGACAACCAATTACCGCACGTAATGACAACCAATTACCGCACGTAATGACAACCAATTACCGCACGTAATGACAACCAATTACCGCACGTGATTTGCACACAGTACAAGGAGGATTCCAAAAAGCTGCACACGCGTGATACTGATACTACTAGTAGTAGTATCACGCGTGTGCTAGTAGTAGTAGTAGTGATACTGATAAACGTGAGACAGGCTATCAGATTACAACTGATTTAAATTCTGGATCTCTCTCCAGCGTGTTCGAGTATGATGGTTTTCTTATCTTATCGCTGTATAAAATATAAGTAAATTTACTGGAAGAACTAGCAGATGAATCGTTAACTTGGGAGATCGTAATATGTTTTTTTGGACAATCCTATGTTTTGAACTTTCACTTTAGATTACATTGATGAAAGGTCATCGTTTCACCACTTCGATCTGGAGTATTACTACAATATCAATATACAATATCAATACTAACTTGCAGTTTCAACTGTGACTCAATGCTCCATTAATGTGTAAATTACTGGTTGTGTAAATTACTGGTTGTGTAAATTACTGGTTGTGTAAATTACTGGTTGTGTAAATTACTGGTTGTGTAAATTACTGGTTGTGTAAATTACTGGTTGTGTAAATTACTGGTTGTGTAAATTACTGGTTGTGTAAATTACTGGTTGTGTAAATTGTAAAACTTGAGTCTAGAAGATTTAAACTACACCTCATTAAAGAAGCTTTGAAGTGGAAGTCGAACTCTGCCAGAGAAAGAAATAGCTCCTTGATCATGAGTATGACATTGTCTATACAATATTAGAGTGTGTAAGTATTGATGTAGCACAATATCTAGCAGTTCACCACAGAGCTACGAGCTTACAGTGTGACTGTAACACAGAGCTACGAGCTTACAGTGTGACTGTAACACAGAGCTACGAGCTTACAGTGTGACTGTAACACAGAGCTACGAGCTTACAGTGTGACTGTAACACAGAGCTACGAGCTTACAGTGTGACTGTAACACAGAGCTACGAGCTTACAGTGTGACTGTAACACAGAGCTACGAGCTTACAGTGTGACTGTAACACAGAGCTACGGGCTTACAGTGTGACTGTAACACAGAGCTACGAGCTTACAGTGTGACTGTAACACAGAGCTACGAGCTTACAGTGTGACTGTAACACAGTGCTACGAGCTTACAGTGTGACTGTAACACAGAGTTACGAGCTTACAGTGTGACTGTAACACAGAGCTACGAGCTTACAGTGTGACTGTAACACAGAGCTACGAGCTTACAGTGTGACTGTAACACAGAGCTACGAGCTTACAGTGTGACTGTAACACAGAGCTACGAGCTTACAGTGTGACTGTAACACAGAGCTACGAGCTTACAGTGTGACTGTAACACAGAGCTACGAGCTTACAGTGTGACTGTAACACAGAGCTACGAGCTTACAGTGTGACTGTAAGATGTTAGATGCAGGGTAAGATGTAAGATGCAGAGTAAGATGTAAGATGTAAGAGGCAGGGTAAGATGTAAGATGTAAGATGCAGAGTAAGATGTAAGATGCAGAGTAAGATGTAAGATGCAGAGTAAGATGTAAGATGTAAGATGCAGGGTAAGATGTAAGATGTAAGATGCAGGGTAAGATGTAAGATGCAGGGTAAGATGTAAGATGTAAGATGTAAGATGTAAGATGTAAGATGTAGAGTAAGATGTAAGATGTAAGATGCAGGGTAAGATGTAAGATGCAGGGTAAGATGTAAGATGTAAGATGTAAGATGCAGGGTAATATGTAAGCGGCATGGTAAGATGTAAGATGTAAGATGCAGAGTAAGATGTAAGATGCAGAGTAAGATGTAAGATGCAGAGTAAGATGTAAGATGTAAGATGCAGGGTAAGATGTAAGATGTAAGATGCAGGGTAAGATGTAAGATGCAGGGTAAGATGTAAGATGTAAGATGTAAGATGTAGAGTAAGATGCAGGGTAAGATGTAAGATGCAATGTAAGATGTAAGATGTAAGATGTAAGATGTAAGATGTAAGATGCAGGGTAAGATGTAAGATGCAGGGTAAGATGTAAGATGTAAGATGTAAGATGTAGAGTAAGATGTAAGATGTAAGATGTAAGATGTAAGATGTAAGATGCAGAGTAAGATGTAAGATGCAGGGTAAGATGTAAGATGCAGGGTAAGATGTAAGATGTAAGATGTAAGAAGTAGAGTAAGATGTAAGATGTAAGATGTAAGATGCAGAGTAAGATGTAAGATGTAAGATGCAGGGTAAGATGTAAAATGCAGGGTAAGATGTAAGATGTAAGATGCAGGGTAAGATGTAAGATGCAGGGTAAGATGTAAGATGTAAGATGCAGGGAAAGATGTAAGATGTAAGATGCAGAGTAAGATGCAGGGTAAGATGTAAGATGTAAGATGCAGGGAAAGATGTAAGATGTAAGATGCAGGGTAAGATGTAAGATGCAAGATGAAGAGTAAGATGTAAGATGCAGGGTAAGATGTAAGATGCAGAGTAAGATGTAAGATGTAAGATGCATGGAAAGATGTAAGATGTAAGATGCAGAGTACGATGCAGGGTAAGATGTAAGATGTAAGATGCAGGGTAAGATGTAAGATGCAAGATGCAGAGTAAGATGTAAGATGCAGGGTAAGATGTAAGATGCAGGGTAAGATGTAAGATGCAGAGTAAGATGTAAGATGCAGGGTAAGATGTAAGATGTAAGATGCAGAGTAAGATGTAAGATGCATGGTAAGATGTAAGATGTAAGATGCAGGGTAAGATGTAAGATGCAGGGTAAGATGTAAGATGTAAGATGCAGGGTAAGATGTAAGATGCAGCGTAAGATGTAAGATGCAGAGTAAGATGTAAGATGCAGGGTAAGATGTAAGATGTAAGATGCAGAGTAAGATGAAAGATGCAGGGTAAGATGTAAGATGTAAGATGCAGGGTAAGATGTAAGATGCAGGGTAAGATGTAAGATGTAAGATGCAGGGTAAGATGTAAGATGTAAGATGCAGGGTAAGATGAAAGATGCAGGGTAAGATGTAAGATGCAGGGTAAGATGCAGAGTAAGATGCAGGGTAAGATGTAAGATGCAGGGTAAGATGTAAGATGAAAGATGCAGAGTAAGATGTAAGATGCAGGGTAAGATGTAAGATGTAAGATGCAGGGTAAGATGTAAGATGCAGAGTAAGATGTAAGATGCAGGGTAAGATGAAAGATGCAGGGTAAGATGTAAGATGCAGGGTAAGATGTAAGATGCAGGGTAAGATGAAAGATGCAGGGTAAGATGTAAGATGCAGGGTAAGATGTAAGATGCAGGGTAAGATGTAAGATGTAAGATGTAAGATGTAAGATGTAAGATGCAGGGTAAGATGAAAGATGCAGGGTAAGATGTAAGATGTAAGATGTAAGATGTAAGATGTAAGATGCAGGGTAAGATGTAAGATGCAGGGTAAGATGTAAGATGTAAGATGTAAGATGTAGAGTAAGATGCAGGGTAAGATGTAAGATGCAGGGTAAGATGTAAGATGCAGGGTAAGATGTAAGATGCAGGGTAAGATGTAAGATGCAGGGTAAGATGTAAGATGTAAGATGCAGGGTAAGATGTAAGATGCAGGGTAAGATGTAAGATGCAGGGTAAGATGTAAGATGTAAGATGCAGGGTAAGATGTAAGATGTAAGATGCAGGGTAAGATGTAAGATGCAGGGTAAGATGTAAGATGCAGGGTAAGATGTAAGATGTAAGATGTAGGGTAAGATGTAAGATGCAGGGTAAGATGTAAGATGCAGGGTAAGATGTAAGATGTAAGATGTAGGGTAAGATGTAAGATGTAAGATGCAGGGTAAGATGTAAGAAGTAAGATGCAGGGTAAGATGTAAGATGCAGGGTAAGATGTAAGATGCAGGGTAAGATGTAAGATGCAGGGTAAGATGTAAGATGCAGGGTAAGATGTAAGATGCAGGGTAAGAAGTAACACTTCCCAAGGTGAGAACTGCAATATTTTTAATAGCACTCTACAGTCTACCTGTTAAAATATGCGCCACACAGCAGATTAACCATGTGCTGAATTGAAAATTCCCTCCTAAAATGTCGAATTTATAATGAAGAATGTGGACGAATGCCACAGAATGTAGTTATTAAATGTGTGTATTAGTGTGACTCAACTATTTCTGAAACGTGTGAGATTATTTGTGCAGATTAAGTTACTTTTCACAGTTGTTTGGATTTCAACAGTGAACACGTCACTACAAGACACGTAGGATAAAACATATTATAACTAACACTATACGTGTTAAACTGTACTGGCAACTAGCCAGGAATATTATAACTAACACTATACGTGTTAAACTGTACTGGCAACTAGCCAGGAATATTATAACTAACACTATACGTGTTAAACTGTACTGGCAACTAGCCAGGAATATTATAACTAACACTATACGTGTTAAACTGTACTGGCAACTAGCCAGGAATACGTGTTAAACTGTACTGGCAACTAGCCAGGAATACGTGTTAAACTGTACTGGCAACTAGCCAGGAATACGTGTTAAACTGTACTGGCAACTAGCCAGGAATACGTGTTAAACTGTACTGGCAACTAGCCAGGAATACGTGTTAAACTGTACTGGCAACTAGCCAGGAATGGCTCAGTACAATCACAGCTCTAGGTGTTACGATGCAAATATTTGCAGTTTTAAATTGTGTGCAATTTGCACACGGTTCTTATGTTGGAGGCATTTTCTAGAAGAATTTGTTCAGTACATCCAGTTGCAACAGTAACTAAATAACTGGTTACTAGGTACACCCAACAAGTTGCAACAGTAACTAAATAACTGGTTACTAGGTACACCCAACAAGTTGCAACAGTAACTAAATAACTGGTTACTAGGTAGAAATCATTGCTTTTTGCTGTTAAGTTCTTCGTCCTCACAGGGGTAGAGCCAATATATTTTCTACTAGGTAGTAGGGTGAAAGACGAAAGTTCACTAAGAATTTCACCACATAAATATGTATTGGTATAAATGTTTCCCACAACTATCTACAAATGACTCTAAGGCACATTGATAGTTAGTACACTGATGTAATTTCTTAATTTACAATCCTGATTTTTAGGTTCCAGATGAAACGAAAAGAAGACTTCGGTTGTGATTATATGTGATATGTGATATGTGATATGTGATATGTGATATGTGATATGCTTAGATCATAGTAAAATTGATCGGAAAATATCCGGGTATGACATGTATAAAAATGATAACTGACAGTTTGAAACAGTGATACAAACAACACAGAGTTTGTCTTGTCCACGACAGTTGTTGTCTTGACAAGTATTTCTCAAAACTCTGTACAGTATTGAGTATTCTAAGCCAAACGAGAAATGATTCTTACAGTTCCTTTACATAATACATTATGCATATGATTTGACGATTTAATTGCTCAACATTTGCCATGAATACCCGGAATAATAAGTTAAGAGACTTCTCACTTAATTGCGGAATGTATGTGGAATTGCGGAATGTATGTGGAATTGCGGAATGTATGTTCAGTGTCCACAACTCCTCATCAGTCTTCATGAATAATGAATATTGCATCAATTACCAAGTATAGAAATGTAGACACTACAATTAAATTGATCAGTGTAAACAATAGCAACTACTTATAACTAATTATTAAACGTGGTATTTAAAGAGTTAAAGCTATCGAACCTTTCTGACTGAAATAGTAAGATTCTTGTCTGTTAACCGGCCATTATCGCTCCTAATTGAACACTGCAGTTCAAATGTCTCGTGCCAGTCTACCTTGTGATTTACAATCTTTTTCCTGTAAGGTTACGTAAATTTTATGTAGATAAATGTATTGCGGAATGCGGGGTGGGGAGCCGGGAGGGGAAGAGACAGAGAGGGGGGAGAGGGGGTTCATTTTACTTTATCTGGTTTATTAATAGTCCTATCCTAAAATCATAGTTAATAAATAACTTACGTAGCTGTCTGACCCCGGAATTTCCCGTTTGACAGCTTCAATTTCGCAAACAAATATCCGCTGAAAGATAAGGTTTTTAATAAGTTATAGAGAGGAGGGGGGGGGTATAGATATAATATGAGATTTGATACGAGATATTTTGATATAAGATATGATTAATTTCATTATATAATAATATTATGACTGCGTAACTACGCTCTGCCACTAAGAAGCCACAATTTCTTCACGTTCAGTAGATCATATCAATACTCAATACATTTTCAGTTCACATTTCTTGATTAAAAGAATAAAGACTGTGTAACTCTCTACAGTACACTCTATTTACCTCCCTATGTGAAGCAGGAACACGGTGTTTTCAAGCTAAGCAAGTTAAAAACACGTGCCGGAGGGGACAAGAAGGTATTCTATCATACACTTTTACACGTGATACACTTTTACACGTGATACACTTTTACACGTGATACACTTTTACACGTGATACACTTTTACACGTGATACACTTTTACACGTGATACACTTTTACACGTGATACACTTTTACACGTGATACACTTTTACACGTGATACACTTTTACACGTGATACACTTTTACACGTGATACACTTTTACACGTGATACACTTTTACACGTGATACACTTTTACACGTGATACACTTTTACACGTGATGTTATTCGTGATTTTCCTTCCTACGAACGATTAGGAGGATGCAAGCAGTTTTTGTTCAAGCATTTGGGGGTTTAAAAACAAGAAATATACTCTGCGGTAACACGGGGAGGGGGATCATACACTAAGTACCGTACGTGACGTTGGGGGGGGGGGGGGTGCGGTGGGTCATATTTTTTTCCAAAACACAGTTAGTACATGGTACATTTCCCAGAAAAACAGTTAGTACATGGTACTAAGGGGGGTGTTCAACCCCAAAAAACCCATTTTACCTCAAATAATTCGACTACATTGAAAAAAAACCCCCTATTAAATAGTGAGTATAATTTGCCCATTTCCCAATGTTTAATGAGCTGTTTAAAGCAATTTATGGGTGGGTATCTTATTTTATAGGCAAAATCATTTTTCTACAGAACTCATATACTGTGGAATGGACTCCCTTTACAGGTAAGACAGATTGTGTCTACAAGTGTTTTCAAAGCTGAGGTCACTAAGCATCTATGGAAATGTTTATTGGATAGTAGTGTGTAGTTTTGTTACGCGTTGATTATTGAGCTCTCTTATCTCATCTCTTATCGCTACAATTTAACGACGACTCAGCTGCTAGTTTGTGTCTGGTGCTGTACAATTCTGAATACATTATGGGAAATGTGGACTTTGACTCTACAATGTGGTCATGTAAATATTTGACCATGTTTGGTGAAGCTGCTAATGATCTTGGTATTTGGGCTGAGGAAGTGATGAAGACATTAAACTGTGATGAAGATAGTCATTTTACATTAGACAAGTTCAAGAAACCAAACAAGGACGTTTTAGTAAAGCACCTTTTTGATGCATTTCAGGGTATTATTGCATATAAGGAAGCTTTTCTAACAGCGACAACAAAACTAGAGGAAATGAAAAGTGACATGATTAATGCTCAGAAATCAGTTATTCAGTTGCAAGGGGAACTCTTGGACATTAAGACTAAGGATCTAGAATCAGTCCAGAGAACTGTTCAAACCGCTGTAGAAAATACTGTTCAAGCTGAGATTAAGTCTTACAGTGCTGCTGTGTCAAAACACTCCCCCAGCTCTGCATCCACTTTCACAGCAGAGAACTTGAAGAAAGTAGTTCAGAATGTGGTAGCTGAAGAGGATCGCAGCAGAAATGTGTTGATTTTTGGTCTAAAGGAGGAAGCAGGAGAGAAACTTGGGGATAAAATCTGCGATGTGTTTGAACAAATGGCAGAGAAGCCACGCTTTGAACTTTTGAAGCTGCTCGAATTGGGAATAAAGCTGCTGAAAAACATAGAGCTGTCAAAGTATCATTTGGAAGCTCTAGCACCGTTCATCAGATACTGATTAAAGCTAAAGAACTCAGACTGTCTCAGTGTTTCAAAACTGTCTTTATTTCACCGGATCGGTCGCCGGAGGAGCGTGAAGTACATAGACAGTTGGTTCTAGATTTGAAGAGGAAGGTCACGGAAAATCCTAATAAACGTTATTTTATCAGGACTGGTAAAATTTGTGAGAAAGATGAGTGAGATATAATAGTTTATTTCTTATCTAATAAAATAGATTTTACATATTTTTTGGCCATTTTTACATGAACTCTTACACTTACTGGGAATATACATGCATTCTGGAGTTTTAAATTATCACTTTTGTCACCACGCCAGCCGCTTTGAAGTCGGCAATTTTTATTTTTAATAATATTGGTTGTTGATATAAGCGGGATATAAATACTCTATTTCATTTCATTTCATTTCATTTCATAGTGAAACAACAGCCTAGCCTAGTCTCTTTGCTCCCCATATTATTATTATTTTTGTTTTATTAATTTTTTATCTACCTTCCTATACTTTCAACATCATATCACACTTCACCCGCACACCTCACACATTAATGACCATATCAGACCTGTATCTAATGTATCTGGAATTTGACGTATTGAAATACCAATTTTGACTATATATCCACAGTTATTCACCATGGATTTGTTTGTTATTAAATAGTTTTTCATAAATTTTTGGATTTAGATTAATTCGATGTAATGGGTCCAAGTTACTGCGGACATAGTTCACTATGTGTTTACCGTGTTTGGGTGCCCATCATATTTTACAGATGGGGGCGATATTTTGAACGATTCTATTTTATATTCATCTATTGCTGTACTCTGTAAAATTTGAAAAGTATTTTAATAAAAAAAATATACCAAGACACAGTTAGTACCGTTGTCTATTGACAAAATTTCAAAATTACACTTAGTCGACGTCACGTACAGAACTTAGTACCTGATCCCCCCCCCCCCCTGGGTGGTAACAATACGGTAACAATATATATGGTAACTGCGGTAACAAACACATTTGAAAGATTCAAGACGGTTGAAATTTACGGAATGCTTTGTTGTGGTCAGCTGTTCAATACCACCAACAACATGACAGTGCGGTGGTGTTTGAACAGTCGCTCCGACCTTTAGCCTTTAAAATAAAAAATCTTATAATTTATATTACGATTTAAAAAGCTGGTTGCCGGTGACGAACCTGTTGGAAGGCACATCTTGGATGTGCTCGATGGTAATGGTCGTGTCGAACTGGTTCTTAAGGGTCATGTTGGGAGAACCACCATAGCTATACCTCCTTCCATCCTACTTTTAGTTGTACAATAATTAGTTAAATAACAATATATTTAAATATACTTATCGAGTTGAAATTGTTAATATTCTTATGATGAAGGATTTTCAGTTTTAGGTGGTGGTTCCTAAAGTTCTGAAATGAAATGCTTACAACTCTAGCTCTTTCTAATTCTGCTCAGTCATTCGAATGAACAATAATACCATGATAAAAAATCTTAACACTTATTTTACTTCGGACATTCCAACAGCCACATTGTTACACAAGTGTGTAACCAGCCAATTACAGGAAGCCGAAGGATTCAATTATACATTAGGCCAGTGACGGTTAAGGTAGTGTGTACCATACTTTCTTCGCCCGAGACTTTGCTGCAATGGGCAACTCCTCATTTAACCCTCACACCCGATTTCTCGAGTATTTGGCTGAGTGGACCGGGGGGCTGCATAGACCACTCAGGATCCTTAGCTGAGCGTCGACGACGCTCACCCCACGGCTAGTGACAGAGTCGGGAATCGAACCTGGTACCTCAAGCAAGTACAAGATAATATTATTACAAACTTGAACAAAAATAAATCACATAATTAGAAGGTATTCATATCTGACAAACAATAATTAAATTCTTCATAAAAATATTTTTATTGACAAAAACTTTGCAAAAAATGCATATCAAATTTCGGTTTGGCGGATGTCCAAAGACAAATGAAGGTAATGACTACTACTACTTTAAGGCTCACAACTTATTAATTATCTAAAATTGGTGCCGTCGTGCCGATCGGTCTTTACCCCGAAGATAAATAAACGAACTTGTTTTCGTAATCTTCGCTAATACAAAAGTCGAACGCAAGAAGGAACACTGCTTCAGAATGTTTGGTAATGTTACTTGGTAAAATACTGCTCCAAGTAGATGGGAATCCTGGGTATCACTATACATTGTACACGTGTATAGTATACATTGTACACGTGTATAGTATACATTGTACACGTGTATAGTATACATTGTACACGTGTATAGTATACATTGTACACGTGTATGGTATATAAGGGTATTTTACCTCTTACTTTAACCGCCACTAATGATAACTGATAAATCCCCATTGCAAATTGCAATACACGTTTGTGTTCAAATTCAGTCCATTAGATTAAGGTTTAATTTTTAAATTTTTCCGTTTTAAAAATGTAGACCCCGTTTAGTTAACATTACACATGATGCTCTACTATACTATGTAGTAACTAGTAGCAGGGAGGAGTTAACATTACACATGATGCTCTACTATACTATGTAGTAACTAGTAGCAGGGAGGAGTTAACATTACACATGATGCTCTACTATACTATGTAGTAACTAGTAGCAGGGAGTAGTTAACATTACACATGATGCTCTACTATACTATGTAGTAACTAGTAGCAGGGAGTAGTTAACATTACACATGATGCTCTACTATACTATGTAGTAACTAGTAGCATGGAGTAGTTAACATTACACATGATGCTCTACTATACTATGTAGTAACTAGTAGCATGGAGTAGTTAACATTACACATGATGCTCTACTATACTATGTAGTAACTAGTAGCAGGGAGGAGTTGCACCTTAATAGAGAATAAGAGAACAGGCAACATCTGGAAAGTAAACAAAAGCTACTAAAGACTATCTAATCTGTTAAAATGTTCTCAGGTAAACAAATTGCTTGATCAAATTTAAAATTGGATTATTATTGTACTTCTAGTAACTTTGATAGTCCTTCATCAATAATACAGTTACTAGAGGATAAAGAATCAAATAAGATTAAGGGGACAAATAACCTTAACGCACTTTAATCAAAAGGGTAGAATTGTAGCACTGGATTCATCTTCGAGGCTTTTAATAAACTTAATTTCAGCGATTTAAAAAAACAGGAAATTTTTACTGATTTAAAAAATATGTCTGTACCTTGAATTTTATGAATACTGTACAGATCAAATTATTGATGTCATGACCTTTTACTAGCAAGCACTAGAACACCAAGACATATTTCCAAATTTATATTATGTTCGTTTAAAATATAACATTACACTTTACAGTTAAGATAAGAACTCATGAAGAAAAATATGTAAAATAATTCGTATTATAAAGATAAAACACTTGAACTCAGATCTGATCATAACAATTAAAAAACGATATGTACTAATTATCATTATTTAACTTTTGTGTAAGTTTAATTTAAACTGTTCAACACAATATTATATCATAATGTATGATAACTGCAAAGTTCCATCCAGCTGATCCCAGAACCGGACTATCAATATCCTAATATGGTCTGTACCTCAAAATATCAATACAAAATGATCAATAAGGGGGAAATAATAAAATGAGCTATCCGGACTGAATCAAAGGAAATAAACCTGGAGTTTGGAAACTTAGGAACTGGCTAATCCCTGGATGAAAATCCTGACACTAGTTGATCAGTTGACATGTCTCAATGTAATTTAACGGTTCATAAAAACTTAACCTTTAGAACTGTTAGGTAGTATTTATATAGTATTTTATATAATAGTATTGATAACATTATTAACCATTGTTTTATCCCTTTTAGCAAGTTGACTATAGGAAGTGTGTGTTTTCCTTGTTCCCTCTCCTAACATAACTTGCTCAAAGAAAAGAATGAGTATCTCCACGAATGTTCCCATACCATATCTCGGAAAAGGCCAGCGCATCTCTGAGTGGTGCTTTGTAGCTACAAGGACTTTGTAGCATCCACATTCCACAACCATGCTCAAAATGGATGATGCTCAAAGAATTCAATTGCTACTTATATAGTTATATACGTCTTAAGGACTCCGGGAGAGAAGGCTGTAGCTGAATCTGTTTCAGAAGAGACAGACTTTAAAGTGGCAATCCAGATAATTAGCAAGCTGATTGAAGGGGTCATCTCCACGATTCAGAAAACCAAGTTGTTCTTTGAGGTAAAAGCTCCAGATGGAGACAGTGATTGCACATCTGTGTACTTTGAGTTATACGCCAAAGGAAAAGACGCAGACATACCTACAGATGTGATACTAAAACGCTTCTTAACGTTTTTTTCAAGATAGGAGCCCAATTTCATGCTGATCATGCAGCTGAGATAAAAGCTGATTGACCAAGGCCGAATCGTTAGCAGTATTTGGAAAGTTCAAGACCAAATTGGACAAGCTAAAGAAACCAGTGCCAGTGGCCATCAAAATTGAAACAGAAGAGATGTATCATGCGGTAACTATGGAGAAAAACGAGAGACCCCCTTGGGCTCAAGACCTGCAAAACCAAATAAATGAAATAAGAGAGATTCAATGTTACGGAGAGTGTTCAGAAAATGAGAATGAATCAGAGACAATGGGTTTCTGCCATTCGTCGGGGAAAAGTGAAGCCTACTATTATGACAAAAAGCAAGATCAGAAGCAGACCAAAAGATGTAAGATGCTAGGCCACTACGCAGAGACTGTTCAAAATGTAGTGGCAAAGGACACAGCGATTTCGAATGTCCTAGTTTCACCTATAAGAAGAAGAACTTTAGAGGAAAAGACCGCCAAGCATGACTAGATGGCAGTATATCAGCTTATAATCAGTCAAAGGGATGCAGGAAGATGGAGTAGACTTTCTTCTCGACAGTGGGTCGAGTATGTCAGTTATATCGACCGACTTATGTGAGTCAGTGACTTTTACTCAGAATGGTAAAAGTGTTCTAGGTGTCGGAGGATCTCAGAAAGTCGGTGAACCCGTTCTTTATTGTTTCAAACTAGGTCCTTATGAATTTACAGACTACCCTTTGAGACCTATTGAGCTTCCTTCAAAGCGCAAGACAGTGATTCTTGGACGTGATTTCATGAGCCAGTTCAAAACTACCCAATTCGATTGGGCTAACAACCGATACACTTGGATAAGGAGTGGATATTCTTAATGGATGAGCCCGAGAAAAAGAAAAAGAAAAGCTACAGTCTACACCATGGGTAAAAGTTTAACTTGTCAAGAAGTAAAAAAAGTAAAAGACCTCATCAAGTCTTATGATCATACTTTTGCTAAAAACAATAGAGCTTCGGAGTTATGCACACTAGGAGAACATGTGATCAGATCCATGGATAACGTTCCCCATAAGGACCGAATCAGAAGATTACATCTTAATCAACTTGAAATTGTTGAGAACCAAATCCAGGAGATGCTCAGAAATGACATAATACAGCATTCAAATTCTCCCTACAATAGTAATCACGCCCTGCTTGATTGGACTGTCAAAGATTTTGACTGCGCAAATCTTATTTCCCAAACATTATAACTGACTGGTCACACACATCTCAATTAAAATTACCCTAGGCTACTGTTTTCCAAGTCTTGTCCTGTGAGTAAAGTATGTGTGAGAAAGTTTTAATAAAATTATTGTATATTTACTTTTGAATTTTTAAAATCTAATTTGAGAATGAAGTTTAAAGAAACTTTAATTAGCACTGTATAGTTTAAGATATTTATAGCTTATTATAACCATTGATACAAAGGCCATAATCTTTCGCCAGCTCTCCAATATCCACCTTGTAAGCTTGAAGCTGCATTTTATATCCTTGAACTACACAATATAAACTAAAGAATGTTTTAGTGTAGACTTTTTGTCACAACAAGACTGCAACCTATAATAACAACTATAAACAGAACCCCTAATGTCTGCTTACAATTTTTCTTCTAGTCCTAATCTGAGCCTTGTCTCTATAAACTTAACTGAACTAGCGTTTCGGTGTGTGCAAAAGCTTCCAGGCACGCGCATTCCTTGCCCCGTTAGTTACCTGTCCTTCCAAAACCAAACTAGCAGTCAAGGACAAAAAGTCATACACCAAATGGGCATTATATTTTATGAATTGTTTTACATCTTTTTATTCTGTAAAAATGTGCTAAAATTAAATTTCTTGTTTCATTGAATATACTTCTGGTGAACAAGGACGATGGTACTAAACTCTAGATTTCAAGAGTTTGAACAAAAACACAAAACCAGACACATATCCACTTCCTAGAGTTGAA